TGATGCCCAGGCTAGAGTGAGTGCCGTGGCGTCAGCCTAGCTCACAGCAACCTCAAACTCCTGGGCTCAAGCGATCCTCCTGCCTCAGCCTCCCGAGTAGCTGGGACTACAGGCATGCGTCACCATGCCTGGCTAATTTTTTCTATATCTATTAGTTGGCCAATTAATTTCTTTGTATTTATAGTAGAGACAGGGTCTGGCTCTTGCTCAGGCTGGTTTCGAACTCCTGACCTCGAGCAATCCGCCTGCCTCGGTCTCCCAGAGTGCTAGGATTACAGGCATGAGCCACTGAGCCCAGCCATCATACTATTTTTCAAATGGCAGAACTTGGAATTCCAACCCCAGGTAGTCCCATCTCCTTAGTCCCTGTTGTCTGAACTCTCTGGTGTTCATTTGTCTTTAAAAAAAAAAAAAACGTTAATCTTGGCTGGTCAGAAGGCAGCGATGAGTTGTCCCACTTGATTGTTCATTGTTCAGTCAGTTACAGATAAAGTCCTTGTACTCTTTTCCCCCTCTCACTGCTGCACTTGACTGGTCTTAAAAACACACACACACACACACACACCACACCACACCACACCCACACACACCCCCACACACACACCCACCCACCCCTGTCTTTCTGGGCATCTTGAAAGCCACCAAGACTATAGTGGAAGCAATTGCACTCAGTGGAAGGAGGTAGCTCCTGGGGGACACCAGCAAAGAGGTGATTCCAGTGTTTCACTCCCCCCCCCATCATTCCAGGGTTGATCTGTCGTTTTGCCCACTCTTGATCTTCCTGGAGCTTCTGAGGTACCCACCCACTCCCCACACACACACACTTCACAATTCGACACTTGTCCAAGGTGACTTTTCCACGGTCTTCCCGAGATTGTCCCTGCGTTGTCCTGCTAACGGGAGCCCTGATTTGAGCGTGTCGTTCACCCCCTTGACTATCTGGACTTCAGCCCCCGCTGTCTGACTTTCCATTTAGGTAGGAGGCCTGAGAGAAAGCCCACGCTCTTCTCTTTGGGCCTGTGCATTTACAAGAAGGTTCTCCGTGCTGCCCACTGGCCCAGAGACTTGCACAGGAACTCTCTGGGCTTTCCCTCTTGAGCCCAGGTCGCTGAGCTGCGGTGGTCGTCCCACGAGACGACCTGGAGAGCTGGGGTTTTGCAGTACTAGTGGGGGCGGGGGCCGGGCCGGGCAGGGCAGCTCCTCTGTGGCCTCTTTCAGCGCTGGCCCACGGCCCGCGTTTGGTCGGCCACTCACCTTGGCGTGCAAGGCCCAAGAGCGCGGCACTGGCTATGGCAGAGCCACCTTATTGAAATGGCATGTTAACATTTAAACAATATTAATACTATTTGACTCATTAAATATACAAAGGCCAGTTAAAGTGCTTCCATGTGTGTGCTGTTAGTTCTGGCGGGCGACTCCTCAGATAGCTTTATGTGGTTTCAGACAACATTTTAGCACATTCTTAAAATACCCACAAAAGCCTTTATGTAAAAACTCATAAATGTGAACCACATAAAAATTATTTTTTTCTTTGTTTCATGTCATTATGATCAAAGGACAGTAGGTAAAAATAAATTTTCAAAAACTTGTTGAGGCCCCTCTTTAATTAATGCTTCACACACAGCACAATGCCATAAACCATGTAGCAGGGTGACCGTCTGTGCACCCCGCAGCCACCTCCTACCGATCGTGCACGGAGCCGTCCTGACGACACTTGCCAGAGAGGCCTGTCGGGGCTCCTGATCCTAGAAGGAGCCTTTCTAATCACTCCGTCCCCTGCTCCCTTTGTCTTGGGGGATCAGGTTGAGACTTGTGGCCGCTCAAGTACCTGGAGATCCCTTTTGGTGATTGGAGTGCAAGTCCATTCTTGAATTGTTGTGGTGTTCGGGCCATTCCTACAGCAGCCAGGTCTCAGCACGTCCGCCTCACCTCAACCGGGAACACCCCGATGCAGAGAGGGAGCAGGTTCAAAGCGAGAAACCAACAGCATCGCCTTTAACATGTTGCTATCGTTCATTTATTAGACGTCAAATGAACTGTAAATTAGGATACAATCCAATGGAATACTGTCCTGTTTGAATTGATGATGGAGATCATGTGGCTCCATGGAAAAGTGCTGATGATTCTGTGCCAAGTGAAAAAGCTGAACTCAACATGGCACTATTGCTCTGCGTATGGTTATATGAAAACTGTCTGGACAAAGACAGGGAACTTGGAAACAGCAGATTTATGGGATAAGTTGATTTATGGCATTATCGGCTAATTTTTAAATTTCCCTTTTTTAATAACGTTCTTGCAATAAGTTTTTAAATTTTGGGTAAAATAAAAACCCACAAGGAAGTCACAATTGAGTTTGCATTTTACCTCCTTTGTCTCCGGCATATGAAACTTAAGACCTGGTCGATGTGACCGCCAAGGAGAAGCTGCCCGGAGTAGGAGCTGGGCCACAGGGTGGGGCGCTGGCGTGGAAACAGCTGGTTCCACCTTATAAAACTTTAATGCCGTTCATTGTTTTCCCTTTCTGGAAGAAACAGGATGCTAAGGGATGGGACTGAGGGGGATCAACCTTAGGCCACCTGGTGCTTTTGAACTAGTCACTGGATGGTGTTGACAAGGGCTGTCAGGCCACCAGGATTCCTCCTGGTTACCTTCCAGGGCAGCCTGACCCTGCTGGATCCCAGGCTTCTGCGCACAGAAGAGCAGGCCTCGGACGAGAACAACATCCTTCCAGGATGGCCAAAGGAAAGCAGGAATTATCAGCCCATCCCTTCTGCCAACACAAGAAAAAACACAGTTTTAAAGTTGGGGTTTTTCCCCTTTTTCTGTGGGGCTGCTGTCCCTACAAGCTGACTGAAAGGGAAACCCATGTGTTAGAACGAAGCCATCTGTCACCAACAGGAGGGATAATTAGCAGGCCCGTTGTGGGTACTCCTCCCTCGGTGTTGACGTGCCTCCTGAGTTAACTTGCAGAGTGAGGAGCTCTCTAGAACCCAGGAGAACGAGCCAGAAGGGCTCACGGAGCCCATGGTGCGAGTCATCTGTGCACTGGAGAACCTCAGGTCCAGCCAGGTGACCAGTGCACCTCCACGTGTCCCAGGAGCTTTCCAGAGAGGGCTGGTCTGAACCCAGCTCCTGTAGGTCGGCCCTGTGGAGGGAGGTAGTAGGAAGGGAGGCGTCTGTTCGTCTCTCCTCCTTTCCCTCTCAGTACCGTGCTGTGCTGTGCGTGTCCAGAGCCACGCCCCTCCCCATTCTCCGCTGTGGACCAGCGTTTAGCTCAGTGTCTGGCACCTGGCGCTTCAGCCCGCAGGTGCTCCCTGTGGCTCCTGCACCAGCCGGGCAGGCCTGCCCCTACCTGCCACTGGGGACACCGCTGTGAGTTCAGTCTGACAGCTTAATCACAGTGGGTGGTGTGAGCCGGACAGAGAAATGGGACAGGATGTGGCCTTGTGGCGCGGGCCTGGCCCCCGCCTACCTAAGGGGACCCTGGTGGGGAGGGGATGATGGTAGCAGGGCCACAGTGGTGTAGGGCAAGAACACAGAACAGCCGAGCTCCCTGAGTCTTACTAGCGGCAGGAGATTCTCATTCCCTGCGAACTTTGTTTCCCGCAACAACTGTGTCATAGACAGCCTTCCTGTCTTCCAGCCTTCCTGGCTGTCCAGCTCTGAGGGCCTCGCACTTGTAGCACATGCCTGTTGCACCCTTGATTCAGGGATTAATTGAAGTCAGAGAGGCCCCACCATGGGTAGGGAACCTGCAGCTTCAAGGCCGCATGTGGCCCTCCAGGTCCCCAAGTACAGCCCCTTGACCAAATCCAAACTTTAAAGAACAAATCCCTTCATTAAAAGGATTTGTTCTGTAAAATTTGGATTCAGTCAAAAGGCTGTGCTCAAAAGTTCAGAAGGCCACATGTGGCCCTAAGGCCACAGACTTCATGATGGGGAAGGTGCCAGCCATGGAGATGAGGGCTCTCCGAGTTTCTCCCAGCAGCATTGGAGGCACCACGTCGGCTGACTGCACTCCCCAGGTGGCTACTCGGCCTCAGTCGTAACAGCTTGGATTTGGGATCCCAGCCTGGCTCCCTGTCCTCCTCCAGCCTTTTCTGTTCTCCTTCATTTGGCCTTAATAAGAAATTTTTCCATATTGACTCAGATCTGAGCAGGAAGGTCTATCCCAAGCTCAGCCTTCATTTCCAGTGAGGGTCTTGTAGTAAGTTGCTCCGAAAGACCAGCAGGACCCCTGGTCTGCCCGGGCTCTGGAAGGATCAGGGTAGGGAGGAGTTTGTAGTTGTACTTTTCCCTCACTTCCCCTGTAAAATAGCTACCCCACAGGTAGGAATACCAGCCAGGAGCACTGGTCCCAGCACTTCAGGAGGCCAAGGTCAGGGATCGCCTGAGGCCAGGAGTTTGAGACCAGCCTGGGCAACACAGTGAGACCTTATTCTACAAAAATAAAAAAGATTAGCTGAGCATGGTGGTATGTACCGGTAGTGCCAGTTCCTCAGGAGGCTGAGCAGGAAGATCACTTAAGCCCAGGAGTTCAAGGTTGCAGTGACCTATAGTGACCTATGGTCAGGCCACTGTACTCCTTTCTCTTAAAAAAAAAAGAGAGAAGAGAAAAAAAAAAGAAAGACAAAAGTAGATTGTCCACTTAAGTCACATTCTGTGCTACATCTTTTATTTGGGAGGAATAGGATGCTCAACGAAGTTTCATAAGCTTAGTGAAGCCTACAAAACTGGATTGAGGGGCAGAGCTCAAACTCAGGTTCATCTTTATGACTCCTAAGCCCATGTCCTTTCTGTCAGCCCCAAAGGCTGCTGCACCCCCTCCCCCAACCATGGGGCAACCAGAGCACATCCAAGGATCAGCCTGGAACTGTTGCAGGGAGGGCCTTTAATCCCAGACAGACATTGAGGTGAATCTTTGCCAAATGACAGCCTGAGCCCTGGGTTACTGATCTGTAACTCACCATCTAATGGGCACGTGGGCCTGTTTCCTGCAGGTATTTTGAAGGCGGTGTCTCATCTGTCTACCTCTGGGATCTGGATCATGGCTTTGCTGGAGTGATCCTCATAAAGAAGGCTGGAGACGGATCCAAGAAGATCAAGGGCTGCTGGGATTCCATCCACGTGGTGGAAGTGCAGGTACAGCCCCCTAGCAGCTGGTGGCTGGGGCCACTACATATAGATGGCTCACCGAACAGTGCGGCCCCACTCTCTAGCAGATGCAGGGGAGAGTACTGTGATCTGTAAACACCTGCTAATGCCTGTAATGCCCTGAAGCCATCTGGACAAAGATGAGTCAGGACTGCAGTAGTCACTGATGATAAAGTTCCCAAAAGAACATACACATGATTACAGATGCTGTCTCTTTAAACACAAGTTGGGATTTTGTAAGAAAGGTAATTCGTGGTAATGACGTAGGCAGGGGGCATGTTGGGGAAGGTCAGCCTGCAGTGACCTGCAGATGATCGGGCAGCTGCCCCACTTAGGCTGCGTGTGTTTGGCCAGCTGGAAATCCACCATCAGAGTAGGACTTCACATGTTCAGATAACAGCTGTCTGGGCTATGTGAGGTTGCTCACACCTGACTCTAAATTCAGGGGTCCGTTTCAGGCTCTCCCCAGCTCAGGTTGTGCCCAAGGTTCTGATCTCTGTCTCGTCCCCCAGGAGAAATCCAGTGGTCGCACCGCCCATTACAAGCTGACCTCCACGGTGATGCTGTGGCTGCAGACCAACAAATCCGGCTCCGGCACCATGAACCTCGGGGGCAGCCTTACCAGACAGGTAGAGTCACATTCGTAGCGAGTGGCCAGTGCCCACAGGTGCCAGCCTCAGCGCTGCCCTTCTCCAGATGACTGAGCAGTTACCCACTTAGGGTCAGCGTGTCTGCTCAGCTCCACGTCTTCAAATAAAAGCCATGTGGGCTGTGCAAGGTTGCCCAAAACTTGCTCCACTGGCCTCCTGCCAAGTGAGCACAGGGACTGGCCACGGCTACTGCTTTTCACTCCTCAGGGGCCCCGTGTCCCTGTACTGCATGCTCTCATCATGCTGTGAGGAGCGGTGCTTGGCTCCATTGGCCACGTCGTGCACGGTGCCGTCAGTCAGACCAGCACTCGAGGGGACACTCTTCCGAGCTCAGGGATCTGCACCTTGCTGTTCTCAGCCTGGTGTGAGGACCAGCATCAACATCACCAAAGAGCTTGTTGGAGCAGAAATCTTGGGCCCCGACCTATGGAATCAGGATGTCCATTTTAAATTAACATAAGTCTCCGGGTAATGCACATGCATGTTCAAATTTGAGAAGTGCTACAGTGCACCTTTCTCTCTCCCGTCTTTTGCTTGGGTACTACTACTAGCAGCCTGTCTCCAAGATGTCCCCCAGGCTGCTCTAAAACGAACTTGGAGCTTGGACTGGAAGGCACTGCCTGGCCCTGGAGCAGACTTGCCTTAACTTCTGCTTAGATCCAGGCAGGTTTACGACCCTTGTTTAAGGGTCCATGTTTAAGACCCTTGACATGTTCAATACCATGTACACCCCCATTCCAAGAGAAGGCCCTGACCTCGTGCCAGGGCAGGGCAGTGGATGCTTTGTGTGCAGGGAAAGAGCGCACAGGCCAAACACAGGCGGGACTGCGCCACGCTGCCAGAGAAGTCAGTACTGGCAGGATTGGTGCAGCTCGGGGCGTCCTCAAGAGGTGGCCGCCTTCCGTGCCATGTCCTTCCTGTCCCCCGTTCTAGAGTGCCTAACCTTTGAGTATGCGGATTCCTTTTAACATCAAAAAAAATTTTTCAATAAGATAATTATAGTCTTAATAGTCATTGATAGAAAAAATACCTATGGCGATTAGGGTTAATTTACTGCATCTTTTACATGATTTTGTATTCTGCAGCAGCATTGACATGCATTTGGAAAACAGGAGTGCAAAGCGCATGTCAGCCGCCATGCCGGGGGGTGTGTATCAGAGCCGGAGACCCTCCACCTGCCAAACCTCCATTGCCTCTTGGTGTCAAAGGGGTTCAAGGCCAGAAGGGATCTTTGGGGTCCCCTTGACTGTGAGGCAGGACGGTCCCCATCCCATCCCAGAATTAAGCATGGCCCAGGGCAGGGCCCAGCCTTTCACATGGAGGTGGGCTCTTATTTTCTGGAACCCCCGGCAGAGAAGGGGGGAGGCGAACCCCTAGGTGACTACCCCACACAGCCTGCCTCCCCTACCCTGCCACCTGGGTAGTGGCTAGAAAATCCTAAATCTGGATCCAGAGACTGCTTCCTGCATCACTTACCGCTCGAAGCTGTTTATAATTCCAGCCAGTGTACAGTGACCTGGACAAATATTTAATCCTCTGTCTTCCTAATAGTTTAAATCAGAGCTGTCAGCCACAGCCAGAGTCTGGTTCCGGCTTGCCGTGAGCCGTGCCTGCTGCCAAGCCAAACGCAGCCTGATGAGTGGCCGTCCCCAGCACACCTTGGCGGGGCCGCGGGCCTTGTTTGCATTGCCTTTTACTCTTGGGGCTTTCATAGGAAATTCACGCTCTGTCATCATTCTAACGGCCGATCACATGATTCACTCGGGGAGCGCTGAAGTTGGGGCTGGTTTCCAGTATAAGTAACTGTAAGGAGGGGGGCGGTGGGGAAGCAGCGAGAGAAACAAATCTAAGTTAATGATGCGCAGCTTCTGAGCAACAGGGGAAATAAGGGTTGCAGGGTTTGGCCGTGTGTCCCAGTGAGCCTGGAAAAACGTCTGTGGTTGCCTTGGACGGGGGACAAAGGGTTCCAGGAAAGTTGAGCAAACCAGTGGCAGAGTGAGTGTGCAGGCTGACCCCTCTGAGTAGATTGTAAACAAGGCTGAGTTATTCCCATTTGACAGGTGAGGAAACTGAGGTTCCAGTTGTGAAATAATTTGCCCATGTGGCTTCAACAGTAAGAAGTAGGACCGAAATTTGAACCCTGAATTGTCTGATGAGAAACAAACATGCTACTTTCTACCACACCATACTGTTTTGGTCTTAATCGGTCCCCTGTGCCTGACATTCGGTGACTGCTAAATAGCCAGGAAATGCATTGAGAAGTCAGCTCAGTATAGACAGGACATAGCCTGGTAGGGGCTGGTGACATCTGTTGGTGGCTCCTCCTCCTCTGGCGGCCGGCTCAAGAGCAGCTGCAGTGGCCCAGTGGCCTCTGAAGCAGGCAGGGCCAGTGCTGCAGTCCCATGCCGCCTGGCTGCCCTGGGGGTGTGCTGAGTGGCACCGCCCTTTGGGCTCCTCCTGCGGGTGAGCGTTTGGCTTCCAGGGTGACCTCCTGTGGGAAGTGGGTTGGCCATAGGGGATGCCTTTGTTCCTGGAGGCACAGGAGGGCAGGGAGGGTTTTAAGATTTGTAGGGATCCGAATGATCTGATTGGACCTGCGTTTTTAGAAGGTGGCTCTGCCAGCTGGCTTGGGGGACGGATGGGCAGGAAGAAGCTGTTAGAGTCGTCCAAAAGAGAGGTGACAGGGGCCCAGACGGGGTAGCCCTGAGAGGGTTAGACATGCCTGTGGCGAGGAGGACACTGAAGAAGCTGTTGTCCGCTCAGGGCAGGTGACGAGAGCCAAGAGGAAGAAGGGCAGAGGCAGGAGGAGTAGAGGAGGAACGACAGGCTGGAGGCCTTCAGAGTGGAGAGGTCAGAGTGGAAAGGTCAGGGCTTGGCTGACTGGGACATGAGATTGGGGACAAACGAGGGGCCCCTTCTCTTGCGTGTGTCCATTACACTCGCAGTGACTCAAGCTTAGGTTTTTCCTCTGGAAACCTGGCTTTGTGGCGGTCACTCACACACTCGCCCCACGTGTGTCGGGAAGGAAGGCCATTTTGCTTTTGGAGCCGGCTCCCCAGACCCACAGTGCCGGGCTCTGACCCCGAGAGCCATCCAGCCAGCAGTCGGCGCTCCTAGGCAAGGCCAGGCGGGTCTCCGGTTCCCCTGGTGGCCGGTGACCCACCCCGCCTGGGCAGCAGCCCTGCCTGGGTGCCCTTGCCCGTGGCTGGCTCAGGCGCGCCCTCACCTCCCTGTTCCCACGCTCCATCTGGAGAAGGGCCGAGGGCTTCAGCTTGCTGGTGGCGCTCCTCCGGGTCCCTTCCCACCGGCGTGCCAGGCTTTGCCCTCGCCCCTCCTCGCTCCGCTGACAGGCCCTGAAGGCCCTGGTTGGCGCACGCAGCAGGTCAGGACGCCCGGTGTGGACACGCCTCGTGGGCTCCGGCTGCCGCACACCAGGCCGCGCTCCCCTGAGCCTCGCCCCACCTCCTTCACATTGGCCTTTTGTTCCTCCCGTTACCCCCCAAAAGATGTCACCCAGGGACGTCAGCTGGGAAAGGAGGTCGGTAGGTGAGGTGTTCCGGCAAGTCCAGCAGCTGTGGGGCTGTCAGGGAGGTGAGCCGCCCTCGTGGGAGCCCATCACGGTGGGTCGCGCCTTCCTGCCAGGGCTGGGGGACACCCGCAGGGAAGACGGACAGAAGGTGCCCTTTGTCGGACCGCCACGTGGGCCCCGGGGGAGGTTGGTGGAGCGAGGGAAAGAGGTTGCGAGGGAAAGAGGTTGCGAGCCAAGTACCAGCGTGTTGAAAAGGAAGTTGTGCTGCGAGGTCACTTCTGTGTGACAGCAGCGATGTGGGAAAGAGGCAGGACCGTAAATCTCTGGAAAGAGATCCAAGGTTTCCCGTCCAGGGAAGAGCCCTGCAGATGTTCGTTTGATTTTTTTTTTCCAGACTCTAAATATTTAGAAGTGAAGGTGAAATGCTCTGTTGAGTGGGGGGATCAGGCAGATTGTTTGCAAGCTGAGCCCTTTCCCCACTCAGCAGCGGGCACCCCGAGACATCTCCAGGCGAAAAACTGCAGCAGAGGCGCTCGCCCAGGTCTCACGGCAGGAGACTGCCCTTGGACTTGCGTGGCAGTTAGGCCCAGCTGGGTGTTTTATCTGGGGGCCGAAGCCCACGCCCTTCCTTCCAGCTGCAGGGAACGGGGTGGGCCAGGCCACAGCCAGGAGGTCCCGGAGCTTGCTTTGCAGGCCTCGGCTGCAGCCACGAGCGCTCCTGGTGTGCCATGAGGCTGCCGGGCCCCAGGGCAGAGACCCCAGAGCAGCGTTGCTTTTAGGGACAGTTGGGTTTCTGTCAGATGCCCTGGGATGGGGCGCCCCGGTGCCTGGCTGAGAAGGAGAGCAGGGGTGAGACTGGCTCCGCACCGCCACCCCTCACTGTGAGGAGCAGGTGCAGGAGAGGAAGGGGCCAGGATCCTCGGTGGGAGGTGGCCGGGGTGGGATGGAACCCGCTCGGGACTTCCCGGCCCTGCCTCATGGTTGGTCCTCCACTTTCCTGGTAAAGACCGGAGATGAAAAGGGAGCCAGCTGGAGAGGTCGCAGGGAGGAAAACAGGTTTCAGAATCACACACCCCTTGGTTCAGACCCCAGCCCAGTCACTTTCCAGCCATGCGACCTGGACCGGCCACTTCACTTCTTTGAAACTCAGTGTTTTCGGCATAGAATCAATGGTGCTTTTTTTTATTTTTTTTTGAGACAGAGTCTCGCTTTGTTGCCCAGGCTAGAGTGAGTGCCGTGGTGTCAGTACTCACAGCAACCTTCAATCCTGGGCTCAGCAATCCTCCTGCCTCAGCCTCCGAGTAGCTGGGACTACAGGCATGTGCCACCATAGCGCCGGCTAATTTTTTTTTCCATATAGTTGGCCCAATTTAATTTCTTTCCGTATTTATAGTAGAGATCGGGGTCTCTCTTCTCAGGCTGTCTCGAACTCGTGAACCGTCGAGCACTC